AGTAGGGGGATCTACCACCATCGTCCGTATAAATTTTTGTTTAACATTGATGTTGCCTTCTTCTGAGAGTCAGTCGAAATGTATTCATATTTTTTTTTATTCTGTATCAACCAGGTTTGAACACGACCCTTCAGACGTAATATTTACTCACTAAATAAAAACATTGTTCGAAATATAGCAAGTACTGACTGACACATTAATCAGTTCAACATATTTCTTACCGATGCAATCATTTCGTTATAATTGAAAACAATGATTTCCTTCAAAGCATTTGTAAAGTCAAAGGCAATCGCAGTTTAAAATTAAAATTAAGTAGTTATTCGACTTTAGCAGAAACAATAATAATAATAATAAATACTTACATACATACATATGTTCAACTATTTTTATTATTGCTATGTATAACATTATCAGCCTCGATAGCATGGTAGGCAGCGCGTAAGTCACATAAAAGTCGTGAGTTCGATCCTCACCCGGTGCATTCATTTTCGTCGGAGCCGGTGTGGAATGCTCATGCGTAACCCCCAGCTCCGGCATAGGCGCTTGCAGGCAGGTACATCGTGTGGATTTTGATGAGTAAAAATCCCACACACCACCCCGCCATCCCTCTGGCGAGGTTACGGCCTTTTGAAGATATTCCACACGTTAAAAAAATGTATAACATTATACATTTTCCTCTTTTATTATTACACGCAATGAAATTTTGTGACAAGATACTTGTCACCAGTTCACTGACTTGCCGTCTAGCTACACTTGGTATAATTTTGCATTGTAAGATCTTATTTTATTGAATCTATTTTTATATGAGAAGAATCTTGATACATACTTGCAATAATTCAAAACTTTTAGTTTAGTATCTGCAATAACTTATGTATAGTCTCATCGTTTATCATAGAGCTCTTACATATTTATAAAATGGATAATCATATTTTATATGAAGCAAACTTAGACGGTTACTATCATATGTCATTTATTTGACGTTATAACTTTCTCCAATAGTGTCGACAGCGTAATATTAAAATTAAAAGAAAACTTAAGATTTGAAAAATATAATAATACTACTAATTCAGATAAACCAAACTCCAGTTTTAAACCCACTTCCATTTGCAATTTTATCGTTACTTTAAAAGCAATCTGCTCAATACAATGGAACTAACAACGGATCCGTTGTTATAAAATTGCGTCTAACTTTTTGAAAGTTGTGGTACAGACATATTAACCTGTTTACAAATTACAAAAAGTCATTTGAGACAATCAGTTGACCTGAAAATATTTAGATATTTGAACAGAAAATTCACGGCGCGATATGTATACGATCATCGTAAAAAAACGACACTAAATATTGATTTATCCAAGTATTCCGACATAACTTTAATTATTGTACTAGCAAACAGGCCTCTCTTGGATTAATTGGATTTATTAGCTAGCTTTTCATCACCGGATAGGGCTGAGAATTCTTTTTATAAGTAAAAAAAATAAAAAATTTAAATTTCTGTTTATTTTCTAATCAAAACACTTCATATATGCCTACGGTTTTATTCTACTGTTACCATTAAAGTTAATTATTTTAAATATTAATTTATTAAACAAATTAAATTATTTTATAACACATTTTTACAACAGAGAGTAGACCAATATATAAACATAAAGTTATTTTCTGTAGGTCAGATTCGAATTAATGAACATGGGAATCTATAAATCGGATCATTATTATTGGCATACCGTAAATTAGTGCAGCATAATGCTTTATTGAATTCTATTTTTAGTTACAACCTTCATAATAATACATTAAATAAAACACATTTCATTTATATTACTTTTGTATGGTAAATTATTTTGAATATGATGAAGCAGCAAATGTGTATTTTTTTCAATCTAGCGATTTTAGACTAGTATATATAGCAGACATATGCTAGTCTAAAATCGCTATACTTATATTAATAATCTAAAACTTGTCTATATTAGTTCTCATATATTATCGGAATACGTGATTTCACGTACTTAATAAAATAATCATTAAACTAATAAACATTTTGTGATAACGATTTGAATAACAATGAATACTTAATAAGGTTCGATGAAAATTTAATCGATAACTTGTTCGTCTCACCTCTTAACTAATATAACATCTTTACGGAAAATTCGATAAATAACATTATATTTAAAATTTTAATATTGACCAGAAATCAGATAAAATACAATACCTGCCACAGTATATATCTTATAAATGAGTGTAAAGTGTACCTAACGCCTGAACATTTCAGGAGTTGAATAGTAGATGACAACGTTATCTATAATCTCTAATGAAAAATGCTTTTGTCGACTATGGAATATGTTTTTAAAACCCAATTTCCACAAAACAAAAACAAAATTGTATATTTTAAGTACAGTTCTGCATGATAATAATAATGTCATTAGATACCGGTAATTTTATCATTATCTTAATATATATATCTAATATTATGCCCAGTAGAAGGGAATGCAGATATTTTGGAAGTATTCCATATATATAGTATGAATCTAAGGAAATTAACATTATTGTCCATCTGTTTGATAAGGATGTTTCCATAACACCCCTACCATGTCTTTTCACTCCACACAATTAAGATGCTACCTTTTGAACGACAGCTTTTCGTATTAGCAATAAAATATTACCAACACCACAGGTACTACCTCTAGGGTGCTAACCTTTTATAGAAGAATATCAAATTCTTTTTTAAGTCATTTACAAAACCTTAAACTATAATATATTGTATTACTCTACTATTGTTGGCAATGAATAGATTATTATGTATTAGATTATACTCTGACCATAATAATAAATCTTAAATTAATAACGATTAAAAAAAGAATTGTGTCGGATTATTATCGGATTTGAAATTGCAAGCAATTGTTTGCGTAGTGTTGACTGGTTATGATAAAATGTTACTCTGCAACAAACAACTCGCTTTCCGATCATAATTCACACGGGGATGTTTTCCATTGCATTCAGCGCAGTAATACAAGTCCCGCGGTGTTTTTGGATTCTCAAAAATAATATTTTACATTGCTGCAAGTTTAATACAAAATTTTTAATCAGAATTATCAAATGTAAAACATTTATTTAGTAACAATTATGTTATCCATAACATAATTGTTACTAATATTGTAAATGTGTAAATATGTTGTAAAATGTGTAAATATAATAAGCCCATAAAACTTTAAATTTAATGCCTTCGCTAGTGGCATATGTGAAAATAGGTTTATTGTTCGACTTCAAAAAAAAAAAAAAAAATTTTACTATTAGTGCCTATAAAGTATTATTACAAATTAGTTCGCTTGGCTTTCCTCTACGAGAAACAACCGTCTCACAGCCGACCCACATTAAACCAGTTATCAACAGAAGAATAAGAGATGGAAGACTTGATTTATTGGGTAAGTTTTATTATTAGATATAAATTTATTATTTTTGATATTATTAGTATTAATGTATTTTAGTATGTAGTTGTTGTGCATGTAGATATTGTGTATAAGTAGTTTTATTTTTATGTTTATGTAGTTGATTAGTATTTTGCTTTGTATGTATTTTTAAAATTAATCCTTTTATCAGGTACTTGGATTGTGTATGTAATTGGAACACTTATGTCTTGTGAACCTAATTCTAAATCAGTGGGATTGTGAAATGACCTCCTATGTTTCCACGATTGTGAAGATGTTAAGTCTTGAATTTCACTCATCCGATTGGTAACTAAGGTTTGATCTTCACAATAATTATGGTAATTAGATAGAATGTTAGTATTGGGTTGGTTCTTACTGTCAAGATTGAAATGACATAAACTTTTTATGAATTTTGTATTCTCCATGGGACCAGCCACTACCCAACCGAATGCTGTCTCTTGTAAAATCAATTTATTGTTATTAAATTTAACCTTGTTTGATTTTATTAAATCCCAGAATACATCTGCGCCTAATAGAAGATCAATATCTGAAGGATCGTAGAATGTGGGATCTGCTAGCTTGAATTCGTTAGGAATATCAAATTCTTTAACGTTAATTTTTGATTGAGGAAGTTTATTAGTAATAGTTGGTACAATATAGCATTTGATAGGAGTGCTGTATGCATTGTACAGTGATTTTAATCTTAAATCGCAATGTTCGGTAACATTAATTATACTGTTATTTAAACCAGACACATAGTGGTACCGATTTGTATGCTTGAAGCAGCCAATTTGAATTTGAGCTTTCTTGCTAATAAACGACGACTGGCTTCCACTATCCAGTAACGCTCGCAATACCAGCTTTGTTTTGTTGTCATTGTTTGTAACCTCGACTCAGTTGACAGCAATGTGTTGCACGAGGATACAGCAGACATATTTATAGTTGACGCAGTATTTAGCAACGTAGTGTCTTGCGGTAAGCATGTATCATTATTATTTGTATTTGTAGTAATTAGAGAACTAGTAGGTATTTGTCCTTGATGTACGTGTGACGTATGTATTTGTTGTTGAGCTTGTAATGTTTGTTGTGTATCTTGTTGTGGTTGTATGTATTGATGTCGAGTAGCTTCATGTGTTTGTGTTTTATGTAATAATGTATTATGTTTTCTGTTGCAGATTCTACATCCGCCAAGCTTGCATTGGTACGACTGATGGCCATTTCGAAGACAATTGGAACATAATTTGAATTGGTAAACCTTGGTATTCCGTTCATCAATAGGTAATGATTTAAATTTTAAACATTCATGTAACCTATGATTTTCATAATATACAAACAGAATCAGAAGATACCATAAATGACTTTGATTTAATCGACCCTATATGCCTATCGAATGTATTATTATGAAACGAACCCCTATTTATGCCTAATGTTTCTAAAACATTTGCGCTGTCACGAAGAAACGTATAAAAATCATCTAAAATGGGAGATATTTTAATTTCCTCATGGATTATCCAACTTTATTATAAATAATAATAGTATCCCACATTTCATTTTGACGTTAACACAAATTTTTTGACAATAGATTAGTAATCCTTCATCTGACTCAATATATAAAGCATAGACACTTTAAATGTTCGTTCTTTGTTGTTGTATCTCTCGCAGAGCAAAGACCAAGCGATATTGTAATTATTGGCAGAAACTGTGACAGAACTGATGACCGCGGCAGCAGAACCCGTCAAATAAGATTTTAAATAATGAAATTTAGTGACGTCATCAATTCTCTCATTATTGTGAATCAAGGATAAGTACATGTCCCTAAATTCTAGCCACTGGTTCATATTGCCGTCGTACAAGGAAATTTTTATAACTGGTAGTTTTAAATTGTTAGTGAAACCAGCCGACACACTTTCAACCTTATCAGAATTAGTCCACAAATCAATTAACATTTGTGCTTGAGCGAGTAAACGAAAAAATAAATTCTCCGTAATCTCCCTTTCTTCTATTTGACTAATATCTGAATCCAAAAATTATCTTTGACTGAATGTCATCAAAAGAACATGACAGATCTTGTATTTTACTAATTCGCAAAGTTAACTCATTAATTTCTATTTTACTTGCTTGTTTTAACTCAACTAATGGCTTTAAATATTTTTCAAATAATGTTAAACGAGCACGAATAGACGCCCTTTGTTTACTTAAATCCTTTAATTCACTCATTTTATTGTACTTAATAGGTAATTAACAATAAATAATACTAATATTTATGAATTTTAAAAAGAGTAGGGTAATAAGTAAAAAACAGTAACAAAATATCGAACAACAAACTCAATCAACACGAAATGTCGTTACAACTGTTATGCGTAGTATCAGGCTTGAGATAAAATAATAAACAGCGCGATGATTCAAGACCGTTCAATACAAAATCACTTAGCGTAACAGTTGTGCGCGATAACGATTCACTGTTCACCCGGTTACTTATCACAAATGTTCTAGAATGATCGTTGAAATTATTTAAAATATTATTCGTTATTTGAGATGTTTGTACAAAGTAATTAAATTAAACAAAAATGGTTATAGTATTGACTATTAATATACTTTGTGACTTTAAATGCACTTGTAAACACAAATAGATGCTACAATTTTATGAATGAATAATGTTAACTACATATTATACGGCAAAATTATGTAGGTTATTACGATCTTATAAATTTGAACTTCTGATTGTAAATAAGGTATCAATTTTAAATAAATGGTTTAATAATGCTGTAGATTTATTGGAAATGTTATGAAATTGCAATTTGTTATAGAATTAAATGAAATATTAATTAACTATATTTATTACGTAATTACTATGACGGTTGGAAAATTAACATTGACGAACAAAATTGTCCACTTTATACACACATTTAGCTAGAAAGAATGGAAATATAGATAGGAATAGGCGTACCCTTGGCAAGTTAGATTATACTTCGTAGTCTTCCGTAGGGATTGAGTCCGCTTCCAATATATCCACAATTTTCGGGTTGGTATGTAATTTAGTATTCGTCGTGTAGATGAAATCTCGTCACATCTGATCGTCGAATCACGTCGAATCACGTCGAATCACGTCGGGGTCACCAAAATGTTTATGTTTATTTTGTTTATTGTGAAAAATATTTACATTATTGAATTATGGCTAACGTGTACAAGGGCGTATTTTTGTGAATGTTCCTTTTATCGCCTTATTGGCCGTTATGGCTACTTTTTTCTCTCGTCCGTACACCGCGCTCGTTGCTAAGTTCACACTGCATGTGTGCCGCCCCCTCCGCCCCGCTCTGCCGTCTATGCGGCGTGAACATATATATCTAATATTATGCCCAGTAGAAGGAATGCAGATATTTTGGAAGTATTCCATATATATAGTATGAATCTAAGGAAATTAACATTATTGTCCATCTGTTTGATAAGGATGTTTCTATTACACCCATACCATGTCTTTTCACTCCACACAATTAAGATGCTACCTTTTGAACGACAGCTTTTCATATTAGCAATAAAATATTACCAACACCACAGGTACTGCCTCTAGGGTGCTAACCTTTTATAGAAGAATATCAAATTCTTTTTTAAGTCATTTACAAAACCTTAAACTATAATATATTGTATTACTCTACTATTGTTGGCAATGAATAGATTATTATGTATTAGATTATACTCTGACCATAATAACAAATCTTAAATTAATAACGATTAAAAAAAGAATTGTGTCGGATTATTATCGGATTTGAAATTGCAAGCAATTGTTTGCGCAGTGTTGACTGGTTATGATAAAATGTTACTCTGCAACAAACAACTCGCTTTCCGATCATAATTCACACGGGGATGTTTTCCATTGCATTCAGCGCAGTAATACAAGTCCCGCGGTGTTTTTGGATTCTCAAAAATAATATTTTACATTGCTGCAAGTTTAATACAAAATTTTTAATCAGAATTATCAAATGTAAAACATTTACAATATTAGTAACAATTATGTTATCCATAACATAATTGTTACTAATATTGTAAATGTGAGTTTTTCATCTTTTTGTTTGTTAGATCTTGGTGCCTTCATGGTTTGATCAATAATCATGTTTCGCTTATACGTGAGTTTGAAACAGAGTAAAATATACATATAATAGATATACAATTTAAGAATGAATTAGCTAGTAAAGCAGATTTAAGAAAATAAAGATAGTAACGAAGAACTTCGAAGAGCGGCGTTATTTCAACGTACCGATTAATTTAAGCGTAACCAAATATTATATTAAATGCGTACTAATTGGCACTGGAAAATTCATATATAAATCAAAATATTTCAGGCAAAGAATTTCGATATAAAATAGCTTTCGTTATTTTAAAGCAAAAATAGTCACTACTTTCATGTAAATAATTTATTCATTTATACTGTTTATCGCACCAAATACAGAAAATAATTAAAAAAATAAAATAATATATAAAATAAATAAATTAAAATGTTTATATCATCTATGTTAGTGAATGGTGTTATATGTAATATACTTGTTTTAAAGTATCTATTTATATAATTAGCCCAACAGCTACCCACTGCTTCCGATTTACAGAGCCAGTCTGTGCAAGGTCGTATGCTAATATTATCCACTACTTCCCCATTATTCGCACTATATCATCTGTCTTCTGACTACATTTTGAGACGTCCCAGTTTTAGGCAACGAGGCACATCACAGTAAGGTTCACGGCCCTGTTGGGCAGTTTTAACTTCTAACTTTGCGAGTTGGTCATCAGCATTTTCATTGCTTTGAATGTTTGAGTGCCCCGGGGTAGTGCCTTCGGTATACTTGCCTAGAAGGGATTATGGACTTGTTTTTGACCAGCCCAATTCAAGTTATCATACATATAAACCGTTTAACTTTAGTTTTGGTTTTACGCAATCTTGTGTCGTGTACTTTTGACGACTAGGCACATAAAAAATGACTATATAAAACTTAAATCATTGTGTTTAGTTCAGCCGAATAATAATGTGAAACCTCCTACGCAAAGCCCAACTCCCACTACAATTGGCCACTGTAAAACGTAGTGATTATTGACTTTACAAATTATTACCTATTATTATTATATTTAGACAGTGTCGTGACCTACTGGATTACTAACCCGATTTATAGATTCCCAAGTTCATTAATTCGTATCTGGCCTACAGAAAGTAACTTTGTGTTTAGATACTGGCTTATTCTCTGTTGTAAACATATGTTATAAAATAATTTATTTGTTAAATATTTAAATTTTTAAATAGTTAAATATTTTAATTTTATAAAATTTAAATATCATAATTTTTTTTACTTATAAAAAGAATTCTCAACCCTATCCGGTGACGAAAATACAGCTAATAAATTCAATTAATCCAAGAGAGGCCTGTAGGTTTGCCAGCTACCACGTTAGACTCAAAATATACTCAAGAAAATGTGGATAACTGGATATGTCAACTGTTCTCCATGCCGCATGCCGTCTACAGTTGATCTGATGTCATTTGGGATTAGTCATGAAAACATATTATTATTATATTTATCTTGGGGACAATAAACGATACAGTAGGTTAGTATCGATATGTTTGTATGCAAAATCGAGTAACAATTTTCAGGTGCACGACACCAGACAAATCAGTTTATGGAGCGTATGATTTGATTTTGGATATTTTTATCGTCCTGTTTGCATCGTCTACATTCCTTAGCTTACAGTCGCAGTAAAATCGAAATAGAATATTAAATGTATTTTTTACAATTCTATTTTACCAATGTAATAGATATTTAAATACATAAGCCAGCAATTTTTATGACAATTAAGTTTTATATTAATAAAACTTCTTTATTTCTTTTATGCATTTGAGAAAGGCAAAGGGATTATACCCATATAGTGTATTATTTTAACAAAAACATTTTTCAAACAAATAAAGTAATTCAATATTTTTTTCCTGTACATGTCGTAATTAGTACACATTTCAATAATGCTTAACATGTTTAAGTATGTAAAACTTACATAATGGTTCTTTATTAAAAACACGTTAATAGCATATCATCAATTATAGTGAATATACGTACCCAAGTAAAAAAATTGATTAATTTAAAATCAAACCATAATGTTAATAGTAAGCGAAGTATTTCGGAACTATTTCCAGCCTTAAGAATTGAATTTCCAGTGGATGATGAGTTGGCAATTTCATCGCTTCATTTGCTAACTAGGTTCGGTTTACATTTCCATTGAATATACTTTTATATCATTTTTATTTATTTTAATTTCTCCGAAATACAATCATGCACTTTATATATATGCAGTACATATTGAAAATGATGATACATAGTATTTTTACTGTGTACTGCATGTAATATACCGATAACTTACCGGTAGTGTATAGGTATCTCTAATTACTATATATTAATCTAGCAATTAGAGGCAGTTTTAATTGAACTTTATAACTTTTTCCGAATAGTATACAGTGAAGAAAGCTTGAAATGTGACTACCTAACTTTAATAATAAACATCAAAAATTTATTACAATTTACTAAATAACAATGACTACTATATTTTAGTGTTATTAAAGTTAGGTAGTCACATTTCAAGCTTTTTTCACTGTATACTATTCTAAGTAAAAAAGATGTTAGCCATTTAATAATTTAATTGAATAAACAAAATTGGTTAATACTAAAGTTTAATTATTTCCATACCAACTCAACAATTTTATTTTTCAATGAAGACAAACAATATATACTTTTCTTATTGTTCTAAAATTCATTTGAATAATAGTAATATTTTACAATTAGTGACAGGAAATAAAACATGTATATTTCAACAAATGTTTATTGTTTTAACATGATTTAATGGTTATTATGCTACATATTGATAACACATAATTATCAATTTAATCAGTAAAACAGTAAAGAAATAGTGTAACTTGATCCTATTGTAATTTAGGTAATCTTATCTTTCTAGTAAATTCATTACCAACCCAAAGCAACATTAATTTATTATTTCTCTATATATATAAGGCACTGCTTCTGTATATATACCCATCAAATATATTTAATACATTAGTTAAGTCTAAAATAGGCTCCATACGGTTTTATACATAATATGAATATCAACATATTCAAGAAACTTGGGAAAACTTTAATTATGAATGGGTCTCGCAACTTGCGTCAGAAAAATTGGCGTAATGCCAATATTCAGAGATG